GAAAAAATAAAAATAAAATCTCAAAAACCATTGCTTCCCCTAATAAAACAAACACCTCTGTAAAACAAGAATTGAAAGTATGTATAGAAAGGCTTAGGGAAGAGACTATAAAACATTATGATACAGCAAAATAACAAAAGGAAATTAAACATCAGTGTATATAACTTAAGAAAGAAATATAAAAGAAAAATAAAACCATAGCAGAGAAAAAAGAAAAGCCATATTGATCACAGCACAAAGAATAGACTTTGCTGAAAATATGTGATGAGATATAGTGAGCAAAACAAGCCAATGAAAGAGACACTAATAGAAAATTAAAAGGACTTCTGGGGTGCCTGGGTGGCTCACTAGGTTAAGTATCTGACTTCAGCTTGGGTCATGATCTCACGGTTCGTGAGATCGAGCTCTGCATCAGGCTCTGTGCTGACAGCTCAGAGCCTGGAGCCTGCTTCAGATTCTGTGTCTGCCTCTCTCTCTGCCCCTCCCTCACTCATGCTCTGTCTCTCTCTGTCTCTCACACATAGATAAATGTTAAAAAAAATTAAAAAAAAAAAAGGACTTCCAACGTAAGCATAATCAGCATTCTCAAAGAAAAAGAAAGTGACTCAAAAATGCTAATGTTCAATCCACTACGTATTTTTATTCAAGGGCAAAGATAGCCCAGATATCAACATTTTGAAACACGAAAGACACCAGAGAATACAGTTCTCATGATCCCTACTAGAGGACAGACTTCAGCTAAGCATAAACTATGGCACAAGGCTTGGAGGTGAGCTTTGAATCCACATAACTGTAGAATTAAGACTAAAACAAGAGATTATGACTGCTAATCATAAATGTTATACTATATATACCCATTAAAAATGTGAGTGTTATAAACCCTGACAATATGTATTTTTAAAAATCACATTGCTTTTGAGGTGCCTGGGTGGCTCAGTCAGTTAAGCACCCAACTTCAGCTCAGATCATGATCTCATGGTTTATGAGTTTGAGCCCCAAGTCAGGCTCTGTGCTGACAGCTCGGAGCCTGGAGCCTGCTTTAGATTCTGTGTCTCCCTCTCTCTCTGCCCCTCCCCCACTTGTGTTTGAGCCTCTCTCGCTCAAAAATAAGCATTAAAAATTTTTTTAAAAAGAAAACACATTGCTTTTATTCATGATAAAATCAATAATGTAAACATTCCCAGAATACTTAGAAAGCAATTCACAAACCTTCTACAAGTATCTCATTTAGCTCTTATGACGCTTTAATGAATGATCCAACATTAAAACCAAAATGATTCTTTGATGCCTTATGCCCCAAGTCTGTCTTCTTGAATTGGTTGTTTGGCTGGTTTTATTGTTGTGGTTCGTTGGTCAGGCTTAAAAAATGAAGGTGTGATATGGACAACTACTTCCGAAAGAGACCATTCTTGATCTTTAGAAATTTCTTTAGGGGGCGCCTGGGTGGCGCAGTCGGTTAAGCGTCCGACTTCAGCCAGGTCACGATCTCGCGGTCCGTGAGTTCGAGCCCCGCGTCAGGCTCTGGGCTGATGGCTCAGAGCTTGGAGCCTGTTTCCGATTCTGTGTCTCCCTCTCTCTCTGCCCCTTCCCCGTTCATGCTCTGTCTCTCTCCGTCCCAAAAATAAATAAACGTTGAAAAAAAAAATTAAAAAAAAAAAAAAAAAAGTTTCTTTAGGAAAAATATGGCAGTAAATGAATGGAAGGTAATGAAAATTTCTTCATTTATTCACACCACAGATGACTCAAATTAGGATTCTCCATCTCTGGCTGTCTTCTTCTAGTGTCTTTGGATATCAGCTTTCTTTTGGGTAACTATGGACCTGGGTAATGAATTCCATTCACAGTGATCAATTAAGTCAAACTCTACTCCAGGTGTGCAAAAACTGAGTGTCCAACCTTAGAAATATTATGTAATTTTGTACTACTAACAGCCTCAGCAGCTGATTTTTTTCCTTACTTTTGAAAATTGTTGGGGTACCTGGGTGGCTCAGTTGGTTAAGCGTCTGACTCTTGATATTGTCTCTTGTCATGATCTCATGGTTTGTGAGATTGAGCCCCAGGTCAGGCTCATGGAGCCTTGCTTGGAATTCTCTCTCTCCCTCTCTCTCTCCCTCTCTGCCCCTCCCCTCACACCCCCACCCTGCCCACGTGCGCTCCCTCTCTCAAAATAAACAAACATTTAAAAAAAAAAAAAAGAAAATTGTTGGCACTACTGAAACAGAGTTTTGTGGAAGACAGACATCTCTGGGTCTTTGGCCTACTTCAATCTACACTTAGAGGAACTATTTTTCTCTCCTTATTTGGTTTTACAACTTTAATGCTTATTATGCATCATTTATTCTGGTTTAGGGTCTATGGTGCTAAAAAATAATAAAAATGAGAGTTTAAAATGGGCACTTTCAATTAACTAAAATGTCTTGTTTGGCTATAGTCTCCAAACTGTTTTGATCCATAACCCTAGGAAGTATAAGATCTGTGGGCATGTGATACAGTTATTTACAGGTTATATGCACATGTGCTATTAATATAGCACGTACATTACAAGTCATAATATAGAAATTCTGAAGAATTAAAGATAAAAATATTTACTATTAGTGGCAAATGATTTTTTTGCTGTCAGTAAAATTGTTAACAATACTAATAAGAACGAAGTGATTTAATATACTTTATTTCTGAACATTTCAGTTTAATCTTTTATGATTGAGCAATTTGTTTTAATACCTGGTTTTAATGGCTGTCAGAGATACCTCATGAAGATATGTGGACCCAAACAGGAAAGGGACACCATGACACTGAGTCCCTTGATTTACAATTCCATCCTCCTATAAGGAAAAGGTTTAGGGGTGTTTTGTGGGGTTTTTTAAAAATTATTATTTTGTTGTTATTGCTAACTGAAATTTAGCTAATTGATGTCCATCTCTCCTGATATTAGTTGCTCTTGAAAGCTTATTAAAGTTATTCAATTTTTCTCTTCAGGAATTGTGTTCTAAAACCACTGAAACTTTAGAAGATTTTTTTCCACTGGGTTAGGACGTTCCGTTTCCAACTTATTGAACATGCAGGTGTGAAGGGCTTTAATAGGTGACAAATCATGTTTTAAAATAGAATCACATTTCCAAACACTCACGTTCAAAAATATGCTCCCAGAAGCGCAGATTTCTTTTGAGAAGTTGTTTGTCCCTCATTGTTAAAACTCTACTTCTACGTGGAAGGGATAAGTGTATTTGAGTGTATTTTTCAAAAATACACTTGAGGTATGAGGTTGCACCTACTGAGACTGTTTAACACATAAAAGTCAGCAAACGTGGGCACTTGTCTTTTTGTAAAAGAAAAATGAAATAATAATTCTATGTTCCATGTGTAGAAATACATTGCGGTTTGGGGCACCTGGGTGGCTCAGTCAGTTAAGCATCTGACTTCGGCTCAGGTCTGATCTCACCGTTTGTGGGTTTAAGCCCCGCATCGGGCTCTGTGCTGATAGCTCAGAGCCTGGCATCCATTTCAGATTCTGTGTCTCCCCCTCTCTCTGACCCTCCCCCACTTGCACTCTGTGTCTCGCTCTCGCAAAAATAAATAAACATTAAAAAAAAAAAAGAAATACATTGAGGCGCATTACTCATCTCATCACAAAGCGTATCCAAAGATGTTACTAATCTCAAATGTCTTGTTGTTCTAGAATCAACTAAGTAATACTGTCCTATGGCATTCTGTCTACATGTGGCTTTAACTCCTTTGCTCTCCTTCAATAGCTTGTTCGATAACTGACTTGTGAATGTTGCAGTCAAAGAGCTTCATACAGGTCACTGTTAATGACAGTGAGCACAGATCCTTACTTCAAATAACCTGCTTGATAATTCCTATGGAGCAGGGCTGGCTTCTGGTCAGATTTCCTGAATTTTTTTTTTATCCTGAATGGGAACACCGGCCGTATGTTCCTACTATCCCCTCTCTCCTTCCTCTATATCCAAAACTCAGAGGGCACATGACTACTCAGAGCAAAGACTACATTTTTCAGTCCCTTCTCTCTTGCAGCTACCTGTGGCCTTGGAACAAAGTTTGGGTCATTGGAATATACGTAGAAACAATGGATAGCCTTCAGAGGAAGGGGATATCTTTTGCTCCCTTTCCTCTGACCTAGCTGGAATTCAGATGTGATGGCTGAAATCTAAGCAATCATGTTGCAGCAAGGGGGAGAAGCCTGGTACTGAGGCAGCCAGAACAGTAAGAAACAAGGGGCCAGGGTCCTTCGTGACTACACTGCCATCAAGTCAGCTCTGGACTGCCTGTGTTCATGTGGGAGAAGTAGCCGCCCGTCTTTCTTGAGTTTTGTGATTCTGGGTTTTCTGGCTCTTGCTGTAGTATGGACCACCAACTAACGCACCTGGTAACAGTTGACGGAAAGCTCACGCAAAGACCCGGAGAAGGCTCAGCCCTCCCACCCTGTCACGTCAGCCTATGTTTGTGCCGTTCATACTACTTCGTTCTGCAGCTTCCTAACAGAAACTGCGTATAAGCCACTTGCCTACGTCGTCGGGACTCGTCTATAAAAACAACATAATATAACCATTAAGTCTCCTCTCTCGGGGATGTGTCAACGGAAACGCGTCCCAACAACTTTGAAAGCAAATGAACGAGGGTGCCGCCACCAGGCAACCTCTACTCCACTCTCCTCTTGAGACAACTCATGACCCAGGTGGGGCCTGTGTCTGATGAAATAGACCGCAGGGGAACACCAGTATCCATGTTAAACGTTAATAGAGACTCATTTTTTTTTTCTTGGTCAATACATACATCCACAAAGACATTCCACTCTCCCCTGCTCTTCTCCCACCCTTACCAACGAATGTCTCTATACACCCCCCTGGTGTGCAAGCACTCCACTATGAAGCGTACAGATACGGGGAAATCTGCATAAATACGTGCTCTCCATAAGACTGAAACCTTGCAAAGGCAAATGGTAAATCAAGGGGTAGGTGTACATAAAGATTGTGGTGCCTTACCTGAATACCTCCAGAATGGTCCGTTCTGATAACTTGGGAGCCACCTGCCTAAATGCTTTCTTGAAATCTTCCAATGTTAAATATCCACGGTCTATTTTGAAATCAAAATATAAAACATTCACTTACTTCTATAAACCCTAAGAACTGTTATCTCCGCCATATTTGCGCAAAACTTCATTACTCAGGGAAAAGCAATAAATATAAGGTAATCTGAGACCGTCTCACTGGAAGAATGTAAGAATCTGGTAACACTCTCCTTCTGTGCAGTCCCAGATGATCTCACAGGCCACTTCTAGCCCTATCATTTGCTGATTCTTTAAGTGCCAGGGAATGGACCGCAGACATACGGTGCAATAATGGCATATTAGGCTTCAAGTCTTTGTGAACTGCCAGAACAATTTATTCTTCGAAATCCATTTATTTTCTTGCTTGGTGTTAGAATGATAATATATGAATTTTTAGAGGGAAACCATCATCGCAGCGAAGACGCTGACCCTGGACTCCATGAGTCTTTCCATCCTGTGTGTGATCTGTGGGGTTCGAAGCCACTTCTCTTGGCCATAACCAGTGTGAGAAAACAATTCCTCCGATCATGTGTGGGTCAAGGTAAGAGTCAAAGGAAAAAGGCCAAATGATCTCCCACACCTCTGTAGGTGGCTCATGACCTATATCCCCATGTGGCCAGCCCTTTTGCTGTCCCCATTACAAAGTAGGCAAATTCCAAGTACAATCACATCACTGTAAATATTATTTTATCCATGGAAAATGTCAAGAATTTAAGACTGTGATAGAGAAAGAAATTCGCCCCAACATCTAGATGATGGCTAATGAATACAGTAAAATAATCTTCCAGATCTATCGATCATTTTATTTAGTAAAATAATCTTCCAAGTATATTGATTATTTTATTTACTGAGAGTACGTGGCAAGTTGTCTTAATAGCAATTTTTTTTATATCAAAATGATTTAAAGATACTTACAGTGCCTGTCAAAAGCTGTGAAGATGTGTCTTATCTCGTTCCGATGGAGTTGAACTTCCTTCTTTTTTCTTACAATACTTAAAAACTCCTCAAGTGATAGGCCTAGAAGTTAGGAAAAACAATTTGCCAAAGATGACCATCTTCCTCTTTAAGAACAAACATAAATGAAAAGTGATACATATTATGAACAAACTTTATGTTAGTTTTAACGAACAGTGCATATTCGTAAAGATCTATAAGGATGAAAAGACATTTTGCTAAACAGACCCAACCCTACCAATCAGTAGCAACGATAGGCACGGTTGGAGTTCACTAAGATTTTCCAGGGAATAAAGGAATGGTGACCTCAAAAAAGCGTAACACTCTTCCCTCTACAAGATGTGAAAGACAGGCCCGAAACTACTTATTAAACAAGGCGTTCTAATTTTTCTTTCCTTATGGTTCTTTGATCCCTTTTTTCCTGCCCAGATGTCATTATGGCAGTTTTTTCTTTTTCCAACTGGGAGATCCGGCCGAAGAAGTCGCTTCTCAAAAGTCAATACCAATTGCACGCCAGAGATAAAGGTGGAGAGAATGTTCCATAAACAATAGAGCCGGCACCATCCGCAGCCTTGGGTGCTCCCCGCCACTAGTCTGCAGCCTCAGGCTCTGCTTCCTGTGATTCTCATAATAAAAGAGCCCAGCATGATCCTACGAGGTTGGATACTGTGATTACAATGTCTATTAAAATGAATTCTAATGTGATCTTTGTAGTAGGTCTAAAGAGTAGAGCCAAGGATTTAAGCATTGTAGTGAACTGAGCCCTAAATATATAAAAAGAGCAGTTCATTTTAGTAACTCAGAATTTCCATTACAGAATATATCACTATTTTAAAAATAGCCCCAAATCGTACGATAACCACATGCTAATTTCTAAGAACTTGCACTTAATGGTGAGGTAATACTGGGCTGTGTACCTTTCCTAAAATAGTTTCAATTATTAAAAAAAAACAACAACAACAACATAGAAAATAGTCTTCTTAAGGGAACCCTCGGGCAATGTTGGTAAGGATGTAAATTGGTGCAGACACTATGGAAAACAGTATGGCAGTTCCTCAAAGAATTCATAGAACTACCATATGATCCGGCAATTCCTCTTCTGGGTATTTACCCAAAGAAAACAAAAACACTAATTTGAAAAGATATCTGTATCTTCATGTGCGCTGCAGCATTATTTACACTAGCCAAGGTATGGAAGCAACCTAAGTTTCCATTGATGGATGCATGGATACAGAAGATGTGGTTATATACACACACGATGGAATACTACTCAGTCATAAAATGAATGAGATCTTGCCATTCTCCACAACATGGATGGACCTGGAGGACATTATGCAGAGACAAGTAACATATGATTCCACTTATATATGGAATCTAAAGAAACAAAACAAGTTATGCTACGTGAAATAAGTCAGGCAGAGAAAGATGCCATATGTTTTCACTCATATGTGGATCCTGAGAAACTTAACAGAAGACCGTGGGGGAGGGGAAGGGGGAAGAAAGTTACAGAGAGGGAAGGAGGCAAACCATAAGAGACTCTTAAATACTAAGAACAAACTGAGGGTTGCTGGGGGGTGGGGGAGAGGGTTTCGAAAGTGGGTGACAGGCATTGAGGAGGGCACCTGTTGGGATGAGCACTGGGTGTTGTATGGAAACTAATTTGACAATAAATTATATTTAACATAAAAAAAACTTGAGAGATACAGAGAACAGATCAGTAATTATCAGAGGGGCTGAGAAAGGGAGTAGGCAAAATGGATGAAAGGAATCAAAAAGTACAAACTTCCAGTTATGAAATAAATAAGACATGGGAATGCAATACACAGCATGGTGATTATAGTCAATAATATTGTATTACATATTTTTTAATGTTTATTTTTGAGAGACAGAGACACAGCACAAGTGGTGGCTA